TGATGTGATACAGGTTGATTCTCCAGTTCGGGGCAGAGGGGCAAGTACAGGTCCGGATACGTAGTGGCCGGATGGTGAAGAGGCTGGAGTTGTATGAGCATGGTCAAGGTTTCCAATATGGCACAGGGCGCTTCCCTAGTCAAAGAAGAATTGTCTTTATGCTTCCTCTCTTACTTTTCTTGGGAGGACAATCTGAAGAAGATTGGGTCTGTGACTTGTGTTTTTTCCTGGATGAGGACTCAGACCCAGAAGGGTGTGTAAAGGTCGGATTGGTCGGAGCCATATCTACAGGTATGTTCCGTTGTGCGCGAGCATTGCCAGAATTTAGGACAGGCACAGTGGGCGAAGCAGTCCAGGGGGCAGTTGTAGCCGTTGCAGGCCTGGCCCCTGTTGCCATACAAGATATAGAATCCTTGTCGAGGCGGAAGCAGGTAGATGCCGTTGACCGCTTGGCCATAAAGACTTGATGACTGGCCATGGTGAGTGGGATGGGCGTGGTATTTTACCTGGAGCAGTGCTGTGAGACCACGCTGTCTGGTCAACGGTCAAAGAGCGATGAATGGGCCTATGAATGATGCGGGGAAGCACTGCTGATTTCCAGGCTGCAAAGGCTACGCGAATGGGCATGGTGAGCTGGTTAGGGGTGTTAGGATTGCCTGAGACAATGCCGTGAGACTTCCCGGACTAGGCAAAGGTCGCAGTATGGTGCCTGAGTTCACTGTAACTCCGATGCACAACTGCAAATCCCTTGGTCTTGCTCTAAGTACTGAATAGCGACTTGCTACACTCCAGTAGGCCTGTTGAAGAGTGTAAATTGGCCAGTATTAATTCAAGCTCATCGCTGGCAGTTAGGAACTTGGGGACTAGGCCTACTACCCAGCACGCCACATCAGACTGGAGCTTGAAGAGTTGGGGTCACCAGGTCGTGCCTCTTGACCGGGTTGATGGTATCGTTAGGTCGCACCCTCTACCGACTGTAATAAGCCGACGCACTGTCCTATTCCCATCGAATGTTAGCAACCAAAACTGCCGCACCACAATGTTCCTACGAATGCTAGCGATCCCTTACTCGCACCATGATGTGGACCGGCCGCTAACCAGAGACCTGTTACCCTCGCCACAAGTGCAACTAGGGGGGTGGGTGCCCCAAAATAAGTCTCCCGGTCTGTAAATGCGTAACCTAATATAATGCACATATAGAAGAAGATGCAAAAGAAAAAAGTTGTTGCCAGATGACATGCTGGACATACGGGTGGTTGTTCCATAGATAGAGGGCATTCTGGGTTAGGCCCACAAGCTGGACCTCTGGCACTGGTAGACCCCTGAGGGTCTAAAAGCTCCTATATCGTGTGAGCTTGAGCGAAGGTATGCATTTTTCAGAGCTGCTGATCAAAAACATTTACCGCAACCCTCTGACTCCAAAGTCCCTGCTTCTGTGTCAACTGTGCCCATCTCGTGCGCTCTCCATTTTCTCCCAAAGCCTCTCAGTACGCTGGCGGGAGTCTTAGATCACATGCTAAGCAGTGCGTAGTCTTGGATTCAAATGTTTTTAGCTGTGGTTTCAAGCAACAGCGGGTGCCGCACAATGCATACAGTGTTAGTTACAATTTAGCTTGTTGATAGAGGACATTTTCGTCCATTAACAATTTCGGTATCACATCCATGTATCACGTCCATCTCGCAGCTGATGACTTCTCTGTCATGATGAAGCCCAGTTCGAGTGTTATTTGGATTGTCTGTGGCAGGGCCTTGACTTTGTCCTTGAAAGTTGGGCCAACTGTAAGCCAGTCATCCAAAAACACCAAAAAGTGGAAATGTCTTTGACACAAGAATGCTGCAACCACCTTGGTGATTCTGATGAAGACCTAAGGGGTTGTGCACAGACCAAAAGTGTTTTGGCCTGGTGTGATAGTTGAGCAGTCAGAGGTTGATGATGCGTGTCACTCCCAAGACTTCTTCGGGGCAAGAAACAATGTCGAGGTGAAAGTGAGGGTAGTTCCTTAAGGGAGGACCACAATGGTATTTCTGGCCTTTGTGACTGGATAGGGCTGGCTGGACTGCAGACTGATGACCTTGTGGCATCAAACACCAGACCCTGCAATCTCACATGCACACAGATCAGACTGCATTGCTCACATGTGCTCCCTTAGGCTACTGAAGGCATGCAGGATTTCTTGAAAAGCAGTGCTGGTTGTGAATGGTTGATGGCCTGTCCCCAGGGAATTTGCAACTGATGAACTTTGCAGAGTAGTCTCGGTTGTTACAGTGAAAATATCACCCTTCGAGTACCAATCAGGCTTGGAGGGACTGGGAGATTTACACAGTTCATGGCTTGAGCTAACCACGGACCATTTACCCAGGGATGTGCAACCACAGGCAGCCCCAGTGCAAACACATGTGCGACTTTGGTTCCAAGCGTGTTACAGACTGTTATTACCCCCGCAGGCGCTCTCGACTTTTCAGAAGAAAACTGTGACCACATGACACGCGTTGTAGCATGCAGCATGTACAGTGCAGCTGTGGTTATGCCGAGACGACGCGCCGACGCAGTGCTTAAATCTATTAGTTTTGACGAATAAATCTTCTTCAGTAATCAATTTCAAGCAGAAACGAAGTTTTAATGAGGCAAAATTGCCCAATTTTGTGGTACACTTTTCTCAGAATGTATAGGATGAAATATCTTGAGCAACATATTTTTTTAGGAAGGGTGTACCCTGACTTAAAATATTACAAGCAAACAAAGTGGTAGACAGGAATATATGTTTTATTATTAGAGATAATCCAATTTAATTTCTGCTTTGATATTGTGCCGGCTGTAACACGCATTGAACCAGCTCTGAGCTTAAGTTGCACATCCCTGGGTAAATGGTCCGTGAGCTAACAGACTATGGCTTGTTTTGATGTGGTCCCTATTGTTGAGCACAGCAAGATTTGGTAACGTGTAACTCTGTACAGCTATAGCACACACATGGTGCATACCAAAGGCATTGTTAAATCAACTAGGGCGAGTCTTGGTGTATACACAGCCATTTGTGGGGAAATTGCAGTGGGTGCAGAGGGTGTAGCTTGGGTGACTTTTTCAGCAAGTGTCCTTGCTGATAAGCAAATGTAGGTAAACAGTAGTGAGTTTTTTTCTGTAATGGAATTGATAGTCCACCTTCTCTCTGAAGAAGATACTTCAGAAGTGTTTCCAAATTATAGATTTTAATAGTTCATAGTGCCAATTCACTTTTCCTAGTTGTGGGGCAGTTAAGCCAGTTCTGAATAAGGTCAGAACTTCTTTGCTGATTAAAAAAAGAAGCAAGAAACCATTTTTCAGCCAGAACTGGTCTAACAAGACACTTTCTGACAAAGCATTAAAATTCAGTTCACAGGGGGCCTATACCAATTTCGAGTAATTAACCTGATATGATGGCTTATAAAAACAGGCATGGATCAATCCCACGTAAAATGGATCATGTGGGTGAAGTTGGTAACAATATTTGCCCCCACATTACAGAATAAACTAGGCAACCATTATGTTCAGTCTTCAACAAACTTTCTAATATGGGAGAATCTAACTGTCATTTTGATTCAACAAAGTATGAAGAAAGTACACATTGTGAGTGAAGTCGTATCTGGTAATTTTTTTTGTAGATTTTTGGTGGTTTCAATGATGTTTAACAAACCGTCCAAGCTTGTCAAGTGAAAGGGCCAGTCAGAAATCTGGCCAAAATTTCTATTCTAGAAATAACATTTGTACAGCAAGAAGCTAGCATTTTACTTTTCGTAACAGAACTTGTCTGAAAATATAGTACTGGAAACAAAACAAAAATGTAGGTGTTTATTTCAAGTGAAACATAACTAGGAAAATCACTAAACAGTTTTACTAACAGTGATCTGTGGGTTGTATGTATATCAACAAAAGTGTGCACAACAAAAGTGCAAACTTTTGCTGATAAATGTCAGTTAAAACTTGTGTCTGAAAATATCATTACATACCAATTTGTAAACTAGAAAAGCAAAGCTTTTGTTTCATTGCTGTTGCTGTTTCATTAGAAACTAAATTTCTTTACCTCAAAATTAGCTCAAATTACAAACGGCACTACTAAATTACATTGTGAATGCAAAATGAATGGCACTTTAAAGGTGTGCCCCCTCCCCATCACCCTATCCATCTCTTATATTACTCTATAACTCTGCCTGATACATGTACAATAATCCAACCCATCTCCTACTCTGACCCTCCATTCCATCATACCATCCATCTCTGACACTGCCCACATCCATCATCCGATCCATCACCTACTCCGCCCCCATCCAATCATCTCATCATCTCCATCCCATCATCTAATCCGTCATCCCATTCATCTCCAACTCTGCCCCCATCTCATCCCATCATCGTATCTACTCTTTCCCTTTAACCAATCATTCACACCTGTCTCCCTTTACATCTTTGTAATGGACATGTATGCACACAGTGTGTACAGTATTCACATATGGGTGTACATGTAGGCCTATGTGTAACACAATTAAAAACGTTAACATTTTGGGGCTTGCCTTCTTTATTGAACATGTATATGCATGTAAACAACACTTTGAAGCAATGATCCCACATAAAGATCTGATGCTAATAAACTCAAGATTAAAGTAAACAAGCACAAATGGCACTATACCCACAAGTAAAATCATTAACACTGGGCGGCCCGCCTGCCTGGCAGATGGACACACGCATGCCCGGCACGATGAATGGATGAAAAGAAAAACAGAAATTGATATTATATAGGGCCGCATTTGCTTCGCAGCTTGCCAAAAAAATGCATTATTCGTGTTGTAAAACGAATGCAAAAATCAACAATTTGAGCCTTGATTTCATTTAAACAACCATCTCCCACACTAAATCTTCAGACCCCAAACGCTTAGAGTAAAAAAGGCAATATTTCTCACCTACCCAACCTAATCTTTTCAATGTAACACAAAGTGCAATTGCTAGTTTGTTTTGCCTGAGAAAGACATCTTACCTCAATCTGGTCACGCTGCCGCTTGTTTTTGTCTTCTTGGAGTGCTATTCCACGCAGTGCTACTTGCAAAGCAGCACCGCCGCACAGAACAGGTCTTGTGTCCAACTGCCATGTCTCTGAAAAGATGCCAGCATTCGGTGATTTGAAGGCAAACGGGAACTTGAGGCTCTCACCTGGCAACAACACTCCACTGCTTGTGTTGAAGTAAAAGCGTTGCACTTTTGGAGACGCACATCCCTCAAATGAGTTCAGTTTTGGAATTTTCTGTTCAAGAGAACAATTGAATCAGATCAGTGTTTGTTTAGCATAGTGTTAAGTTCTTTGAATTAGTTTAAGTTGTAAAGCTCAACTTAGTATTGGGCCAAGACTAGATTTGCATTAGCTTTTTCTACGTTATAGCTCACACTACAATGACTGGTGAGCATAGCAGCATAACAGTAATGGTAGAAGGCACTTTCTGTAAGAATTGTAATCCAGTCTTGGATTACAATTGCATATGTCACAAATGGTGGTGAATGGTACACTGGCTACGTATGCATTTAGGGGAATTGGATGAATGCTTTTGATAGTATGGATGAGCCCTTTACAGCTTTTGAGGCAAGCTTAGCAAAATAACTAGTGGTGTTCAACTAAATAATATACAATTTTCTTGGCTCAAACATGGTTAAATGGACAGCAAAAACAAATTTTAATGTGAAATCATTTAAGGTCACACTATTGTAAAACATACCACACATATCAGACAACCAGCGATAGTCCGTTCTATATTCGTGCCATTCCTCCCCCCCCAAAAAAATGCATTATCCAAAGTGATGTAGACAGCTTTTTGTACATGGGATCAGGGAATTGGACCTTGAACATCCAACCAAGGCAAATGAGCCATCATATCAGACACAATCAACACCCATGTAGTACTATGGCAAACCATACGGAAAGTTAGGCATAAAGACATTCATCCCTTTTTCATTTAACAACTTTATTTTTATTTTCCATTTCTCTCCTACGTATACATAGGAGTACATCCAAGAGCACATTTTTTCTCACTTCTGTATTACACTGAGTTTCGTATGAATTTATTTAGACACATAAACAATAATAATAAGGAATACTATGTATTTTAATTTACATGTACTTTTTACCCCAGTCTAGGATTGGATGAGCAGGCCTCTCGGCCACAGTTAATTTCACTTTTGTTTATCCTGGCCATCTTAGATTGGTTTGTCCTTGTGTTGCTGTTTCCCCTTCCTTTCCCCTATTTTCAAATGTTATTAATTTATTCATTATTCAAATGAATAATTCATTGTGTACATATTACAACAAATATTCTGTTGTGTTTTTTGCGTTGGCCAAATAAATAATAATAAAAATAATGATGACTGTACTGCACTGCTAAACCTGCCCGAACAAACAAACTGTGTACATTGCATTGAACTTCCTACTAGTACATTCACTGTACATTACCAGGAATAGGCACACAACTCAGGCCTGCTAATGGCATGGGTCAATATGCTATAAAATTGTGGGTATTGGATTTGCAGGCAACAGAGGCTACTGATTAGACCATTTGGGGGGATTTTATTTATTCTGGTTGTACACTGTGTTATCAAAAGGGTGAATTAAATGCTTTCACAGTGACATTTAGTTGAATAATAAATGGGTGGTACTGTGTGTATGTTAGGTAGTATGGTAAACAGGGTGATACTGTATTCTTTTGGATTGCAAACCTCCGCCTTTCTCACACTTTCTCATAAATTTTTAATTTTTCTGAACAAAAACTGCCATGAATTTGCATGAACTTTTATTTCTCTGCTGTTATTTTTTACTCTCAGGTTCCCAAAATGAAACGTTTTACCTCAGTTTCAATTTAAGATCGCCAACACATGAATAGTCTATTCGTTCGTCAGAAACAGCACACCTTTTAAGTTTATTGCCACGACAGTGCATTAGTAGACATCTCCTTTTACACATTTTCAGCCACAGAACTATTTTGGCAAGTTATGGGAATTTCTTTGCTCTAATTTGACCAGTAAACATACATCAGACAAGTCCTTCTCTTCCAAAATCTTACTTCAACCGTATCAAAAAAATAAAATCAAAGACACTCTCAAATTATTAAAATGACTTACCTTCCAGTCATAGTAAATGGTAGTAGTGCCTTTGTTGACAAGATTCAAATATGAGGTGATCGGTTCGCCAGCGTACACTTCAAATGTGACTCTAGCTACATGGGCTGTAAACCCTTTGTTACTGTGGCTATCACCACTCCAAGATGCTGTAAAACTATGAAGTTGTAAACATGGACCAGTTTGTTCTTCAGTTACATCATTACGAACTGTAGTTTTACTTCTGTAAAATCAAACATAAAAATAATTTCTGTTATCAGTACAAACTATTCCACAAAAGGATTACAATGTACTTTAATCAGAATTATACAGAATTAGGAAGTCTCAAAGCATTAAGACACTGGCTAACTAGGCCAACAGCGCGATAAGTAAATAAACCGTAAGCATACAGTTACTGTTGCTTCTACCTGAGTAACAGAACTACGTATCACTTTTATTATACATAAACAGGAACAGAAAGTTACTGAAAAAATAAGTGGCTTACATATTAGGCTTCAGACTTGTCATCTCAGGAATCTTTGCATCTTCAGATGTATGTTTATCCATTTGGTTTGCATATGGATTATTCCTTCCAATAATCTGCAACTTGCTGAGGTCCTACCAAGGTGAAACATAAGAACGGTGACAGAAAACAGATCTACATACACCAACAGGATAGCTTTAAATGTTTTAAAAGTTTACTTGCAAATAAATAAGCACACATCTTTATACAGTTTAACTGACAACTTTCAGAAGCATGGAAGACATAATACATTTATTTAAAACAGACTTTGTCAACATCGCCTGATTCAGTGGCGAACTGACGCAAACACCCTCTCTTTTACCACAAACAATCTACCATCTTTTGTAGTTCTAAATTACTTAGAGAACTAATAACTTTCTTACTTTAACCAATAAATACTTCTGGTTTAAAATGTATAGTCAGTGAATGAAATACAAGTGAACAGCACTGTAGCAAATTACATGTACATGCAACATATTAATAAAAGAACCAGGAAATAGAAATATTTTAAGAAATTTTACTAAAAAGCCTTGAAACCGTATCTGTGGGTTTCAATTAACTTTATTTAAAATTTTTGTTTTGTAATTTTAACCCATTTTTTGATGCTTTTTTGTTTTTACGCTAATGTATATTTGTATATTCATGAGCAGAACTATGGTGTCATCCAAGGCACTGAATCTCAATGTTGCACTGATTTGTGCACAGAAAAATTCTAGATTTTTTAACCACTGCTATGGCAGATTTTATTTTCTTTGGCAATTTATTGCTGTGTAAGTATATGGCAATAATCCAGCAAAAATCCTTTTCACAGAAATGTTACCAGATAGCAAATTTGGGATTCACAATTTGAACATGAAAATGCAACCTGAACCATGTCTTCCTGGATTTACATCAAAGCAAAAGTGCCTCACTTGTCCAGAAATACTTGGTCAATTTTTAACGTTTGAAAAAGTACACCGTTCAGTTCATGTAACTCAAAAAGATGTCAAACAGTCTTCATACATGGAAGAAGAGTAAAGAGATACGCAAAAAGTGATTCTAAGAAAAATTCATTTCCTGGTTCCTTTAAATTTGTGTGATACAGAGTTACAGGAATCAAGTCAAGACTTAGACTTAGGTCCACTTTTTTCACGTTAATGTGGACATCCCATTGGGGCTACATGTTCCAGAGTCAATAAAAGAAAAAATTTGCCAAGGTGCATATGTTGATTTTGCGCTGCTGTATGATTCCACTACCGCAATCATAGCTAAGGCTGGTGTGGTCTCTCTAAATTTGTCAATGGTTCTGGACAGAGACAAGTTGGTTGTGCGTAAACCGCGTACTGCGTGGCACAAAATTGAGCCATTAGACAAGTGGCAAATTGAGCCATTAGACAAGTGGCAGTCTGCCTTTCACACCTCTATGGCAATTCACTTGACCAAGTATTCTTCATGCTGCCTCGAGCTGCTTAAATATATTGAAATAGTCAGACTTTGGTTGGTGAATGTTTGACCAGTAGTTTTGCCAGAAACAACAGCTTGAGCCAAGATGCTCTTGGGGGAACCTGGATTTTGAGCTTTGGCTCACTGTTGCAGACCTCCCAACATTTGAATTCCAAAATAGTCCCAAGTCAGTCGCGCATCCAATGCAAATGGTCAATTTGCATGAAATGCTGAAATAACACGTTACTACATGTACTTTGATAATACTGTGATAGATTGTGTTCCACTGAGAATTCTGTTGTTTACACCTCGGCATTTATCTCATGAATGCTGTTAATTTGGGCACATCACGCACAGAACTCGGCACACTTACGATGTTTCTGTGAGCTAACAATATGCTTTGCACATGCACAGTCCCCGCTTCCACCGTGGCCATCATAAAATCCACAGAACAAACGCTGCTATGTGCATAACTCTCCCCTAATCACGATGGTCCAATACACGGCCCTTCCCCCTACTATCTTGGTATATGTCGCTGTTGTTAATACTGTCATTTTTTTCCATTGCTTTCAACATTTTATATTATGATTTTCATTGAAAGCAATCACAACACATGCCATTGTCAGTTGTTGACATCAGTTGCACGAAAGTCCTGCTTGGCTAGTACATTAATGGTTCCTTTACACATGCAATATACCTGAAGTGTAAGCAGTGCAGGAGCCAGTGACAGTGTGAAAATAAACTTTCACAAGTCTTCGAAATATTTTGCCTTTTTTGTGCTGTTTTAACCAATTTGCGCCAGGATGCGGCAAGACACGACGTAAAAGTTGAGATCCTCAGCCCCGCTTTTCAGCTATTATTCTTGGCCCACGCTCGAGCGAACACGATGAGAGAAGGCAGACCCTGGCT